TAAAAAAAAACAAAACCGAACAAAGGGGGAATCAGGCTTGTAGTCTAAACCTCAAAAACACTTTAGGATACTTCCCTAGGCTATTCAAAACAAAGTACCAAACATCTAAAATTCTTACATTGTTTAAGTTTGAAGGGTAAAACCATTAATATTTGTGAAGCATTTGAACTTTGACAGGCAGCCACAACTGTATCATATCAGCCATGACTAAATCCTTGTACAGTAAATAAAGCTTAGGTATACATCAACTCAGAAGAATCAGATGCAATTCTGAACAGGCAGTCACTGACTCAGCCACCCACAGGTGGCTTACTGCACCGTTCACATCTTACATTATGATCAACTCAGTGACTTTACAGTGAGTTGGTTCTGTTTGTTAATACTACTGCTATTATGCCATCTTCTGTATGCTAAATTCTTGGCTCTTCATGCAAGTTGTCCCCACTGCTGTAAACCAAGTAAGTATTTTTCCTAATACTAACAATTCACATCATAATTTTCCATACTTGGTTCTTCACAAATGAACTGCAATCCTTTCTTTCCCTGTCCCCCCTCCTTGTTCTCCCGTACCAGTACACTACCAAATTATACTTGGCAGTTTATCTCATTCAAGATCTCATTGCTTTTCATTGGTTTATCAACTTCTAACATAAATCATGGTTTATAAATTATATAAACCTAACATATAATGTACCATGTATTTGCAGCAGTAAATTAAGTGAGTGTACAGAAAGACTCACTACTTGATGCTATGTTTAAAAGTGATTTTTCATATTAGAGATGACATGACAAAGGACTAAGCTATGCAATAAGATACCCGTTTTCCTTCAGTATTAGTCAAAAACTGAACTCCATGTTTCCTTCCCCTCGCTGTAAGTGCAAACTCTACATATCACCAGTGATTTTTCAACCTTCTCAGTGAAGGGACAGCTAGTTTCTTCCTTTTGAAGACAAGCAGAGGGCCAATGTCATTACCATTACTCTTCATTCTAACAGCCATCTAGGTATTCCGAAAAGACACTTCCTAAGTATCTGCAATAAACCAGATTTTAACACAAACAAATTTCTAACTTACAAAGCAGACTTTTACTGTGTACCTGAAAAGCCAGAAAATACTAGGTGCTGCAATTATCTTGAAGCTTACAAAAGTCACATACTATGTAACTTGGGCCTCCTTAATTTGTTTTTACTATTCACTAATGGAACCATGAAATGAAGCTCAGGCTAGTCCTGTTCTCCTTCCATTGCCAACTGATCTGAATAGCTGTATATGAAGTAGCTGTATCCCCAAAAAAAAAAAGAAGGGGGGGGGGGAAGATAAACAAAAAAAAAAAAAGGGGGGGGGGGGGGAAGACAGACAGACACAAGGTCAGTGCTGTGCCTATTTTTCTCCCACACTATTTATCCAAATATCTATCCAGCTATTTTCAGAAACTATGTGAAAACTTTGCAGGTTGTAGAAAGGAAAGACCACACAGTACAATACAGTGTTTTCCTCTGCATTTTGTTGGTCAAAAATAGCTTGTTGAGACTATTAATCTGTTCTACAGCCTGCTACTAGCAATTCATTCTCCTAAGGACTTACAGGAAGCAAGTAGTGGGTAGGGTGAGGTGTTGTGGTTGCTGGAAGTGGCCTACTCCTTGTGTTTTCCCATGACCCAACCAATCTCTCCCCAGCCACACAATAGGCACACAAGTTCAGAACATGGGAAATACCCCAGGGCTGCTGCTAAGCTCTCTCCCACAATTAGAACAGAGTCTCTGTTTCACAGACACACTCCTGAGACAAGCTAGGAAAGAGGGCTGCTGCTCTAAGGCTGCAGCAATCATTCTGGTGGAACAGTCTGCTCCCAGAAATCCTTGTTCGTAGGCTTACTTCAGGAATGGAGTTGGTCTTAGCTCCGTGTTGCTAATTGCCTGGTGCAACAGCACTTGCTCTGTGGGTGCACAGAAAACCCTACACTCCAGAAGTATCAGACTTCCTACAGATTAACTGTATCAAGAATTTAAAGTCAATACACAAATCACAGTGGAAAGGTTACGGTACACAATCATCCCCTATGCACCTCATCATGAGCCTTTGCTTTATAATGAACGTAAGTGTTGATTTAACTGAACAATGTAGCATAATATTAAGGATGTACATTTCACCACAAGACACATGGTTTTGACACACAACAAAATGTTGATATTCCGCACAGGATCCCTTCTCTTTAGAAGGGAACAAAAGCATTACAGGAGAAATATCACCTTCACACTAGCACTCTGCCTATTATGCCACAACTAGTTAGAAGTGGATTAACAGGTGGAAGATTTCCCTTTTTTCTGATCCATTGCAGTCTTCAGCATCATTTATCTGAGAAGCTGTGTGGTACGACTATGAATGAGCACACTTCCTAAACTGGCCACCTATCTCTTACCCTTCTACGCACATTCAGGTATGACACTTTCAGCTCACAAATTAAGATGTTTATGAAAACAAATTTGCATCCATTCTCTTCTCAGATCAAGTTTGACACTACCTTGCAATAGTGAAAGGGGAAGTATTGCTTGCTACTCTGTCCCCAAATAAATGCTTTCTTTGCTTTCCTCCCATCCCTCAATTCATGCTGTCCTTGTGCCCTGTGGATCCCAGCAATCTTATGGATACATGCTGAGACTGTTCACTGAACTCACCCAACAGAATAAAAAAAACCTCGAAAACCCCACAGAAACGTGAATAGCTTTCTGCAAAACAAATTTGGCATAGCATAGAGCTAAGGAATGTTGTGCCTTGGGCATGAAAGAAAAGTAAGAATGCTGATTCCATCAGCAGCTTGCAGTTACATCAGAAGTAGAATGCCTTTACACACAATCTAAAGGGTTAAATTAGTGGCACCATTACCCTTAAAAACACACATTTTCAAAACAGTAATTTTAGCTCAACTACACTAGGGGACATCTAATTCTCATCTTCCCTCTGCAGAAAGTTACTTTTAAGCTTATAATTTCCTAAACAAGTGCAGAATACACATTACTGCAACAGTAAGTCTGAAAAATAAAATTTGTGCAGAACAAAGACAATTTGGTAAGTTTAAAAGCTACTAAACTGTATTACACAGCTAGTTGAAAAACAAAATAGAGATATTAAACTGCCAGTATGTAGTAGCTCTAAAAAAAAAAATCTAAGTCACAAAAACCAAACTAACCATTCAAACTTTGCAGTAAGTCAACCTCTGAAAAATTCTCTCTTGTTAAACATCCCCATTGTATCCTATTCTAATTCTTTCTATGGCCAACAAATTTAGGAATTTTGTACAAGGCTAAAGGATCAATTTAACCCATTACAACAGAATCTATTTTGCTTCCTAGTATCACAGTCTCTGCTTCAGAGCCAGAGTCAGATTCAGGGCAAACAGTTGCTGTATTTGTTTATATAACCTGGCAGTTCAGAACTAGAAAACAGATTTACATGGAGTTAAGACGAGCAATTCTCCCATCTCCCACCAGTCAGATAGATGAGCAACAGTAGGTACATCTGTAAGAGAACCTTATTGCTCCCACTTTTGCACTCAGTCAGAAACGTAACATGTTTGAGCAAACCAAGCACATTTGCCTACCTACCTTGTCTTATGCACATTTGTAATAGAGAAACTTAATGTCTTCATGCAAAAGCTCACCAAGGGGTCTCATCTGGAAGTATGCCTTGCTCCCTGAGTCCCTGCTCATATTTAACAATGAGTCTGAGTTCCGGAGAAAACAGCAGGCATCAGCAAGGCAGTGAAAGTGCCCACCAGTTACTTGGCAGCCAAGTATTTAGAGAACATAACCAGGAAGTGGCAAACCTAGGATGAATTTCCGTGACAGTCTGTGGGGATTCAAACCCACACCTGACAGCTCCAAGCCTAGCATTAGTTTGGTTAGGACTCTCCTGTCCTAAGCTAATCCACTGTGAATCTCCAAAATAAAGACCATGAAAGGAAGTATGATTCAAAATGTACACTGGGCTTGTACTGGCTATCACAGTCCTACCTATAAAAACTGTTCATCTAAAGAATTACGTAAAAACCATGAAGAGTCACTGGAGAACTAAACTATGAAAACCTACATCTGAAGGAACACTGTTCTCACTGAGAAGCACTGTATCACTGCTGACTCTTGCACTTCTTTCTACACTGTGCTACAGCTTTAACAGAAAGGATGGAAATACGGGATTAAGTCTAAAGTGCGATCTGAGCCAAAGTTTTCCATTTCCTGAGCAAAATTTCTAATAGGTATCTCACTATCAACTTTTCTACCTTTCCCAGCCAGATTTTAAAAGAAAAAGAACTAGTTACCAAATGAATCCAAAAAGTGGTTTTTGCCTCTGAATCCCTGCCTCACTTAGGTATTAACTCATGCCACAGACAGTCATCAGGCCAGGAGAGACTAGGCAAGACTTCAGACACACGCCTCCTGTTTGCTCTTGGCTGGCACAGAGCACTTGTACCTGCCACAGTGAGCATCAACCTATTCACTCCCTTTTCACTTATGGAACTAAAGGCTCCTAATCAGGTTCGCAAATCTCACAATAAGCCCCATTTTGTAAAAACCTGACGTTGTCATGCCTAACTCCATAATGGCTCTTTGTTTAGTACTCTGTGTATTCTTTAGACGGGCAGAATATTCTATCACCAGGAAGTGTATAGCTATATATCAAGCTGTCAAGACTTACCTCTGAAGAGATTGTAATCTTCGTTCCTCTCTCTTTCTAGCTAGCCGTTCTTCTTCTTCATCTGATCTACTAGAAAAATAAGGAGGGAAGGAAAGCATAAGAGGAACAAAAAGCAATTTCAGTGCTAGGCAATCACTGTTTAGTCATTTGACGTATTTTCAAAAAGGATTTATAGTCTGACCTGAGTTAAATTTTACATGGCTGTGAAGAAGTAATTGCTGAGTAAGTATAATTGGCAAATTTGTAGAGTTACCCTTTCACATTTTATAACACCCAAATGCTTCACCCACTGTAGCAATGTGCGCTTCAGACTCTACAGGACAATTTAAAGTCTCTTAGGAAGAGGCTGCACACTGTTCCAGAAGCAGGAGTCCTACTCGCCATTTTCCCCATGTATCACACCCCATTTCAGAGTAAGCATACTGCGTGTGCATAGTTAAGTCCATTGTTGCCCCCTGGAAGATTGATGGTTCATAAGCCTTTGATGCCAGAACAATTTATCTTTCCAACAACCTTTACTATCCAATCTCAAGTTGCCTCCAGGAAAGCAGTCTGCATGAACTGTCTTGGCAGCTGCCTTTCCTGTTCTGGAATGAGCAAGGATTTACCTGAGCGCATCAGCTGTGTGATTCTGGGAAATGCTGAGCCTACACAGTACATCTGAGCTGTGCATGTGCAGATACACTCTACTGAATACATGCACTTAAGCTTTGTGACCTGCCTTGGAGAAAGCTCAGCTTCACTTCACCACTAGATACACCATATAAGAATTGTAGAACTCTAAAGCAAACGCCAAACAATATTTATTTGCCTGTTATTTTTTTCTGACAGAATTAATGACAGTTCTTCAGGATTAGTGAATGGACACCTGCCATGCTTTTCCAGGTGCTAATAATTTTTCAAAACTGAATGCACTATCTGAAGATGTTTGATATGAATACTTACAATATTAACACACCTGCTAATACAGAAATGGATAGTTATAGCACCACACATCTGCAGCAACCAACATACAAGTTAAGCAAGAGTGACATCCAGTGGTTAATTATAGCATGTCAAATTTTTTAACAGATACAAAATTCACAGATACCAGAATTAGAAATCTGAACTCAATTTTTCTATCTGCTCAGTCCCTATGTGTCTTTGAACATCTTAGTCATTTAAATACAATCCGGTAATTCAGAATCCATGTAATGTTTCACATACAAGTTTTCTAGTTCCTCCTTTTACGTTTCCACATAAAGAGTTAGAAAAGTCTTGGGGGAGTTTAGCAGCCGGAAACACATGCAACAGGTCACATTTATTGGAAAACTATGTCAGACCCTTTTGTAAAACTAATTGATTCCCCATATTAGCATGTCCAGGAAGACTAGAAGCTCCCACACTTGGGCATCTTTCTGGAAAACTACTTTATTGGAGACCCCAGTGTCTTATAACTATGTAAGTCTCACTTCACACTACTGTTGCAAAATACAAACCCACCAAATCAATAAAATGCTGGTATAGGATTCAGAAAATATATTTCTTCCCTATAATTAAATGAAGCATTAAATATCTTTGGATTTCTAGACACTTTGAAGAAATTGAGTTTTTCTTCAAAATTCAGAAATTCTGAAATTATAAAAGTTAAAAAGTGGTTGTTAAATTGAAGAAGTTCAAGAGAGTCTCTTTAGTATAGTTTCATGAAAAGTTGTATCTCAAGTACATGGAACCAGACACAAAGTCCAAACATAGGATAAAAATAATGAACTGAAACAATGCACCAATAGGCCTAGAATTCCTGTGGTAGGGATGGACTCAGGTGAGCCACCTACATTACTGATGTGGGGATTAATGCACCTTTTCCTTGAACACGGAGAGTAAGTGCTGGCTTCTTAAACATTGAAAACCCACAGCTTAAAAATTCCCAGAAGGAATACTGATGCTCCTGCAAAAACAAGGTTACACCTGAGATCTGAGACGATACATATAAGAAGTCAATAAAACAGATCTAATACTACATTTCTACAAATTTTCCTTCTTTCAATTCATTAAAAAGTTTCTTTTGTGGAAAAGGAGTCCCCAAACTGAGGAAGCAGACAGCAAAAGAATTCCTGCTGAGAATCAGTGGGTTTAAAGCCAGTAATATATCAGGCTCCAGTGTAATAATACATTCTGAATCCTCCTGAAATAAGCTGGACCCCACTCTGACAAGACCTTTAAATCCTCTGAGTATCAGAAGATTAAGCTTGACACCTTTGGAGTTCTGGCATAAGATGACTCTCAACTAACCCTCTATTTTTGGAATTGGATGTTACAGTACTGATTGACGACTTAGCTACTAAAACTGAAGTCTGGCACAAATCTCTCTTCACAGGAATCAAGTTTATTTGTCAGCATGTCAGCCACAGGGGCCTACTCAGTTCTTCTGCAGAGGAAGTCGGCAGATCTTACATAAAATCTAAAACAGTTTGATACATCTTCAGGGCTTATCAGCACAGGGCTAAAGAGTTATCAATTTTTGCACTAGGACAGATTTGGTAGACCAATCTACCAGCAGAATAGGTACATGCATCTTCCTCAGGGAAAAGAAAAGGAAATGACATGTTATTTACAATTGTTTTCTCCTTTTTTGAAAGCCGCAGATGTACCATATTTCTCTGGCTTGAAGGTCAGCACCAACCACTCTGCAGCTGCATAAATTCTTTAAAAAAAAAACAACCCTCAAACAAGAACAATGAATTACAGGTACTTGAGTATAGAAATTATTTCAGATCAAGAAATGAGGTCCACATTTTGTTCACGTGATTAGTACTGAAGGACAAAAGGAACAGAGCTAGCTGAAGCTACACTGCCCAGAAACCTGAGCTCTAAAGCTTCAGTGACACAAGGAAGCATATTGTGCTGTCCCAATAAACAAGGCTTTCCAGGTATTTCATTAGGAAATAATTACTGATCACTTCCCATGGAATCACTGACTTACCTATTTTAGCTGCTCATCAACTATTTCCCTCCCTTTGAAGGATATTAGCCAATTAAAGAAGTAAGCCAGTAGGAAAAAAAAAAAAAAGAGAAGTTTTACAAGTCCTCCAAGATCTAAAAAACACTTAATTTTTGCAGTATTACTTTACTTGAAAATAAGTCAGTCTCTCTTAGTATCTTAGAGCAAAAAAGTATCATCTTACATTTAGATTATTTTGTTGAATTGGCAAAGACAGCTCACTTAGATACTGACAGATCCTAGAGCAAACTCTGAAGCATGGATACCAAGTGCTGTAGGACACCGTTACTTGTTACCCACCTGGTCTCTTTTTGCTGTACCGTGAGCTTGCCTCGAAAGAAATAATTTGTTCTGTTATCACAAGAAGCAAGTATTTATTTGGCCATTGAAATATTTCATGTCCAATTTTAACAAGGAAGTGTAAAATGTAGACATGTAAAATAATAGCTTGCTTAAAGAACATATCTGATGCTACCGCTAATAACATCACTTCAGTGTCATTCCAGCATCATTTCTAGTGTCATTACTGCCTGTCACTAAACAAAGTGACCAAAATTGCTTCCAAATGAAAAGATTCTTAGTATATTGGAGAATAAAAGTTGTAGGTAGGTAAGGAAGACCAGTACCCAAAGTTAGTAAAGGAAACAAATATACATATTTACCTCCTGGAACGCCTTCTGCAGTAACAGCAGTAACAGCAACAGATTGCTATGGACACCAGAATGAGTCCAGCTACTACAGCTATGGCAATAATTAAAGCCTCAACGTTTACTGAAAAATATGAATATATTCAACTTGTTAGACTCCAGCATTAACATTTGTCTTTCTGATAACTCTTCCCCTCCTTCCCAAGCATTTTTTCACCTCTGTATGAAAAAAACAATTCTGCACAACTACCCCAGTTAAAATGCAGCATATCACATTAGAATTTTGCTACTATGCATAATCTACACTGAACAGACATTCAGTAATATTGCTCTTTACATATACCGAATTATTAAAAGTCATCCTGTAATACTTTATATGATATACATCTACTGGTGTGATACCACAGTTCTGTCCTCCCAATCACAACCTTAGCCAATGTACAGCATGAACAAAAATGTCATAGATGCGGCATCAGTGTACACACATTACATGCAGCAGTTAGAGAAAGAGTAAAATGAAGTAAGACAACAATGTCGGAGAATTTGAAGGAGCCAATACAAAACTCTGTAAAACTTCCTAAGTCATCATCTATGTCCAAGGAGAGTCATCTTCTACATCCAAAGAATGATTAACAAATGGGGTGGGGGTGTATTATTTTAACTGCATACACTATAACAACTGTAGCTGAATCAGAAACCTGATGTCCTGGAAAAGAGTGAGGCCCAAGAAGAAAGCAAACAGGGATGGTACAAGCAACACTACAGACACAATTTTGAGGAGTTATTTAAAGGACCTAACAAAGGACAAAATGAAATCAGGGAGGTTGTATCAGAGACAAAAACTAAACACCTCTCCCCACACATAGCCCACACTGTCTGTTTTAAAGCATGATGGGGGAGGGGGCAGGGAAGCTGTCTCTCCTCTCTCTCACATAAATCCCTCTGAACTCTGCCAGGTTCAGCAGCTTCATGCTGCTGCAGTAATACAAAGTAGCTGCACATGCACTTTTTACTGCTTCAGGGTACCAGTGATAAGACAGTCAAATTTAGCAAGTGAAGTTCAGAGGGTCTATCCTCTCCGATTACATGCACAAGCCAAAAAGTCTGTTACTTCTCTACAGATCTCACCAACTCACATCTGGCCAATATCCTTCACAGATCTTGCCAAAGATTAGATCCCAGCAAATATTTTTGCTTGTGTGTTATAATTTACTGGGTACAGTTTATAATACAGACTAATACATAGTTTCTAGTTACAATACAGAAGTAAATCCTGAACATGTAAATTTTGGAAGTAACACATTCCACCATACCACATTTCTCATTCTGTTACTCCCCTACAAGCTACAAGCAATTAAATATACTTCATTCAGTGAAGTAAAAACAAAAAATGGTTTTAATCTTAAATTTTTTTCAAAGTATACTATTTACTTTTTAAATGCCATTTAATTGAAGCAAAAAATATATTTTGAACCTCAAAGTCCAGAAAAAGATTGTCAGTTTTCAGTCTGCATTCCTATCTCCACTATCTATTTCATTTGCTTATTATTCATGAAAAACAATACAATTAAGCTATTTGGTATTATGTTGCTTCTGTACTGTTCTTTTTTCTTCACTACTGGTTAATAATCTGTCAACATGTCTTATTCCATAAAAATTGTAACTGGAAGCCAGTCATTTGCTTTTGACTTTGAGAGCTGCAATATTCAGCTTCATTTTCAGCAACACTGAGCCAACACTCATCTCTTCATTTTATCTGTGAAAAGGAAAAACACCACCACCATGCTCACAAGGTAATTAGTTTTCCTGCTATGTCCGAAGGGAACAGTCTCAATAAGACTACATACCCCCATGGCATGTTGCTGCATATAATTTGTAAAAAAATCTATTAAGGAAATACATATCTGGGGGGGTGTTGTTTTGTTTTTTTCTTTTTCCATTTTTAACTTTTTTTTGAGAATGTGCTCTATTCTCTGTTTAAGCTGCATTCAATCTAGAAACACAAATGATGCCCAAGCTAGAAGCCATTTCTATAGCAGGAGTAAACTGCCAAGAACACCCTATTAGCATCAGTAGATACCAGTAATCACTGCTTTCCAAAAGGACACAGCACAAATGCATTTCTGTACTGGGTCTGGCTAGGACAGAGTTAACTTTCTTCACAGCAGCTGCTATGATGCCATGTTTTGGATTTCTGGCTAAAACAGAACTGATAACACCAATGTTTTGGCTGTTGCTGAACAGGCTTGAAGAGCATCAAGATTTTCTCTTACCCCCACCCCCGTGAGTATGGCTGGAGGTAGGCAAGAGATCAGAGAGGTCAGGAAGGGACACTGCCAGAACACCTGACCCAAACTGGCCAAAGGGATATTCCACACCATATAACGCCATGATCAGCAATAAAACCTGGGGTAAAGGAAAAAGAAGTGGAGGGGGTATCTGGCTTCCAAGGTAACTACTGTCTGGGGACTGACTAGGCATCAGTCTGCCTGTGGGAGGTGGTGAGTGATTTCCTTTGCTTGTTTTTTTTTCTTCTCTCTCCCCATTTTTCCTTCACCTATTAAACTGTCTTTATCTCAATCCATGAGTTTTCTTGCTTTTGTTCTTCCTGTTTTCTTCCCCCAGCCCACTGGGGCCAGGGAGGAAGGGAGCGAGCAGCTGTGTGGGTACTTAGCTGTTGGCAGTAGTCAACCCACCACACTTCCAGAAAAAAGTTTGCTTAACAGTTCATTTACTATAATATTGAAAGCCCAATTTCCTGAAAAGCGTGCCTTATCAGTGAAATGATATACCTTCTGTAGCTCTAAAAAAACTCCAAAAGTCTAAGCATAAATGCTTTCTCTCACAAAACAAAGCACAGAGCCCTTCTGCTAAGAACAAAGAATTGGTAAAGTTCTCCTGTACTGTCCAATCTAGTCCCTCAGTTTGCAGGGATTATATGAAGTGGTAGCGTTCAGAAACCTGTATGCTCCATTAATAGCTATCTTCTACCTCTGCTACTCTAATTTAAAGACTACTCCATTGTCTCACTGCTCTTAAGTGTGGTAACTTTCTTCTAATTTACAGTTAACATGGTCACTGATAGTAGTTCATCCCCGCTTGTTTCTGTCCTTTAGCCTCCTGGTGCTCATGAGCAAACACATAGAAAGCAGCAAGCCTTTGCTTTGCTGGACTGAAGATGTACTCTTATTTCATATGACAAGCTTTCCAATGTCTTATTTGTTCTCTGTTCCAATCTATTCTGAATTTAGATCTGTATACACAGTATTGCAAAAATAGCTCCAAAAATTTCACCCCAATGGCAGCATATGCACTGCACCGTATTTTGTAATACAAAATGCAAAGCAAAGGAAACCTAAGAACAATGAAATGATGCAGCACTACAATCTACAGTGGCACTCTGCAGCTGCCTTTTTAACCTTAACTACATTGCCTTCAGCACCCACAGATCACACTGTTTTTTCAGTTGTTTAAGCAAAAACAGCATTCAAGAATTTTTGGGCGGTTCCATTCCTGTGGTATTGGTTCACTGCAGCCACTGGAATATACTATAAAAATTGTGGATCCAGGCATATCATCCAACATTTTAAGAAATTTTAAAAAAGGTAAGAATGGTCACCCTTTGTCAACAGGGAATGACCTTATTTCTGTGTACCTCAGAAGTACAGTTTAAGAAACAGGTGAATCCTGACTACATACATAAAATACTCAGAACATTCCAACATCACTGGTTCCCAGTCTAGACTTTAGCATCAACAGAACTTCACTACATAGTAAGTGTTTTAAAGCCAGTGTAACTATACTGGCTGTTCACAAAGAACCCTTAACAATGCCTGTTTTGTAAGTCCAGAAGGTTAGGGATCATGGTTCCAAATCATAACCACTGCCTCCTCCCCCCACTCCTCCAAATAAATTATCAGGAAACAGCTCTAGTAAGTGGTAGTCTTACTTTAATCATCCTCAAATAATTCTCTACAGCAAAAGTAAAATTAGTACCTACTCCAGCAAACTCCCCATTGAGCATTTGAGAGTGAACATAATGAAGATGGTGGAAGAATGCTTCTTACAGGGTAATCAATACAAGTGTTGTTGGTGTAACACCAAAGGCACTGTGCAAAAGAAAAAAAAACAAGTTATTGATCTTCAAAAACAGTTTACAATTTAGTGCTCCTCTCTACAGACAGAATTCTTAAGTGCGTACAGTACTGTACGGATATATTGAAAGTGCTTTGTAGTATAAAACCTACAGAAGCCCTGGTACAATTCCTAAGGAAGCCTAAACTGAATTGTGAATAAGTAGATTTTGTACTTGCAGGTAATAAAGGTAATAAATATTTACACTAACCTGAAAATATTTGGGAACATATTGAGGTACTCTGTATACTTGAGGATAAAGTGGCTTTGAGTTTAGAATTACTGAAATGAGAAATACAAAACCAGAAAGCCAACTGTTCAGAATTTTAACACACCTGGTATCTCTGATGAATAAAAAACCACTTATAATCTTACTTCAGCCCTATATTTGACTATCAACAGAAAAAAAAATAAAGAACCCATACATTCTACAGGAGGTTTTTCTGTAAGGTAATAAAAGAAACAGCCTTTTCCAATCTGCGTTGCAAAGTACAGCCTTATAATCTGCATTGCAAAGTACATTGGGTACCTTAATTGTGCACACTTAGGTATCTGGATATTTTTAAAATTTAAAATTAAAATTTAAGTGTTCTTAGATGTATTACAGTTACAAAAAAGTAATATAGTTACAATAGCACAACATTTCTGCTTTTTATGTTACCACTAAGCATCAAGATTAAGTTTTGGTTTGCATCTGTTAAAATAGATACTCATTCAAAATTTCTTTATCACACAACTTAACCAGTGAAGAAGTTTTGGATGACAGTAAAAGGAAACCCTGACAGAACAGGGTTTTTTAGGATTCATTCTAGAAAGAGCTCATCCAGGAACTATGATTTATTATTATTATTTTCTCTTCCTTTGCTGTCCTATTAAACTGTCTTTATCTCAACCCACAGGTTCTACTTTTTTTCCAATTCTCTCCCCTACCCCACTGTGGGGGAGCAAGCGAGCAGCTGTGTGGTGCTTAGTTGCCAGCTGAGGTTAAACCACAACACAGTACTATCAAGAATATCTCTGTCATACACCCTCAATTGCACAAAGTCTGTTACCTTGCTCTAAAGGGTTAGAAAACATTGAATTCAAAGGAAAACATTTGTAGTAGATTCTGCTCTCTTGAAAAAAGTGAAGAAAGAGACAAGAAAAATTGATTCCTATTTTGTAGTTGGTAGACTGTACAAGTCAAACATGCCCATAAAGACACATCAACAAAAATAATTAAGGCAGAATAATCTTTGCAAAAAACCTGCCCTCCTAAGTTTTAATTTTAATCAAGGATGTTAGATGCAAACATGCTTATTTTTGTTGGATCAATTATTTAATAAAAACTAACAGTTCAAAAATAACAACTAATAGGGGACAGACTAAAAGTCATTATTAAACTTGTTTGAATGTAATGTTGACCCTGTTTTGAGTAAGATGCTGGACTAGATGACTCATGAGGTCTCTTCTAATCTGAATAACTCTATACTGTTGGCGACAGCTAGGCGCACAGAAAGGTCAACTGTATTACTCTGATGGAGACTACTGCATGTAACTATTAAAAACGTGTGTAGCCCAAAAGGCAATACCCAATACAGCTACTGATTGGTGCAGGGGCTGAAGTAAGAGAAAAATGTTTCAATTGACTCATTCCCAATGCTAAAAACTGAGTTGTCAAAATCAAGTTAGGAAAAAAACCTAAACACCCAAGGGTGAAACATTTCCTTAACTTTGATCCTCATCTATATAACCTAAAAATGAAGACTGAAAAGATTTTATTTAGACATAAATCATATACCCTTTGCAGAGTATGCTAGGAACCACGTTCACACTCTGATGGATATCACTGACTTCATTATCCATGTGAGACTCTACTAGAATAAAGTGCAACATTATTAATTCAGGCCACACTCATTTTAAGGACATATTCTCAGTATTAAAAGAGCTAAGATAGTAACTATGAACACAAAATGAACACTTCTTTCTCTATAATCAGATAGATGTATGCAAGTGACTATTATCCCCACCTTCCCTTCAAAAAAAATTGGTTATATTTCTGATCACAAAATTTCCTATAGCTGTTGTTAGCTTTTTTTTTTAAGGCCTAGCTTGCCTAAAATCCATTTACCACAAGAATTTAGAGTCCATACATTTGTTATTAGGACAAAGATGAGAATGACAAAATAAATAGCTGAGGGGGAAAAGCGTGTTGGTAGACTACTCAGAAGTTAAAAATGAGACTTCAGAAAATTCTCCAGATTGCTGAGACTCTACACATGCACACAGATTTTAAAATATAGTCCTATCTTTAACTAGTGCTTGCATTATGTATTTTGTCTTACACACTGTCATATGGAGTTAGAAACGTTAAGAGAAAACTCTCTCAAGACATTAATCAATAGGTATTTACACATTATCTGGTAACAGATAAAGTTCTCAAATTTTAATACCAGGTGGTAATCTGCTAGTTATAGCAGTAAATATTTCTTTCAAGGAAATAAATTGAGTTTCAGGATTCAATAGCTCTAATCAAAACTGTTATGTGTTATTTTTTTTAATGTACCATGTTGTAAGGCATAAGATGAAATGCAACAGCGTATCTATAAAATTACCACTCAGAACAGTTTTATTTTGTCAGAATTGATAAAAACATGAGAAAATAGGTATTCACCAACTCTAAAGACCAACCCAAAAGACCAACCCAATTATAATTATGATAAACAAAATTTGAGCATTTTGAATTATAATGCTAAATTAAATTACTACATTTTAGGGTTTGTTTGGAATTGTTTTTATCTATTCACCAAATGTTTAGTTTTCATTTTTATCAGCTGCTATCTATATTATCACCAATATGAAAACCTGATTTTTTTTTTCCTACTGAAGCAATTAAACAAAGTAATTTCAGCAATCCTTTGCTTTTGTATTACTCACACAAATGCTAATGGCTTTGTTCTGTAGGCTTTTTTTTAACGTATGTGCAAATTGTCTGAATCAAGTCTAAACTCTTTTCTTCAAGGTTAACACTGATGCCATTGAAGCAGTTGGCCTGAATCATCCATCATTCTGTCACCAAAACAAGCCTGGACACTGTCATTGGTTTGACAGATTCTGAAAATAATGTATCTATAACTGTTAGCATCTTCAGTACATGAACACAGCTAAAGGATTTATTTCTCACACAAGGTGAACACATAGCTCTCAGGATAATAAAAGTTGTGCTCATGTATCTGTAGCAGCACTTATTTGAAGTGACAGTCACACCAGTAGTAGTGCTGAACATTTACTCTTTAATGACCCATATTTTCCATTTCCTACTTTATACTTTTGAAGATTAAGAGTTCTTTACACAATGCCATGCTTATGACAACAAATACACAGGTCTGACAACACACAACCACATCAATACAAGGCAATTACTGTTTTTCCATTAAAAAAGCCAAAAGATGCTTAAGACAAGCATAAAACAGGTAAGTTTAGATATTTCTCAATTTCCCCTACTGAAAAGGTTTTGCAGTAACTACATATCTTAAAGACTCATGAAATATTTCTTTTCAGTGACATCTGAAGTTAGAATTTGAAACAATCTCTCACTTCAAATATGGGAGTTTCTTCTACTCTGCAGGAACAGACATCTTTTGCATATTTATCACAACCCTTATTGTGGAGCTAAAAAGGTTTTGAGCAGAGGATGGAGAAACAAATTCTATTGTTTTAAATGTCTGCCTTATTGCAATCTCATTGGAAATCTAAACACTTTGCTACCAAAACGGAGATCTAGCCTGGCAGTCTTAAGCACTTACAGTCTGGTGTAGTCAGTGGAGAGGCCAGCATGTCTGAACATCTACAAAGCACTGATCCAGTCTGCCTCAGTTAAATGCATGGCTTGGGGCATCTCCAGAGAAAGGCATTTCTAGTTTATTTACATTAACTTCCCAGTTCTCCTATTCAACATACAAGAAATGCAAGGCATTTTAGCCACATGAGATGCAGTTTACCTAGCCCTTGTATAAGATGGAAAATTAACTAAGCACTGCTTGCAAAATGAGGATGAATCTAAACTAGCAGCAACATCAACTCACTCAGCTGCGCTGTGAAAGCACTGAGCACACACTGGAACTGGAAGCTTGGATTCTACACTGTCCATCTTCTCCAGATGAAACAGATAAATACCCTGAGTGACCAAATCATGGAGCAACCCTGGCAAAGTGAAAGCACACTGGTATTGAGTGTGACAGAGCAGAAGCAGCACATCAGTTGACTCTACCACTTAAATAAGAACAGAGACTTCCTCTTTTTGAGGGTAGTTTGACTAGACTCACCGTTAAAAACAAAACGCCCACCAAACAGCCAAACCAACCCCAACAACCTGACTTCATATTAAATGAAAAAAAAAAAAAAAAAATCACCACATTCTCAGTCAAAAAGAATGTTAAAAATCTTACCGAAACATTTTTTAGACATTCTTCACAGGACCTCTGGGAAAACTCTGAACACTCTAGAAAAAACCATACACACAGATGATGAGATTTATTATTCCTCAGTAACATCAAGCACATTACACAATATTTAGCTTTTTCTTTTTTCTACTTCTAGATACAAGCAACAATTTTGACTGAGGCAATGAAAGCTCAATATTTCCATTCCCGGAGAACTGTAGCAAACATAGATACAAAGCATTTAAGTTTGACCTCTGACATAGTTAGGGAAACACTTTAACCTTACTTGTAACTTCAATCTGTTTTGTCTAAGGACAAACACGGGAGAAAAAACCCAGAGCCTCCCTGTATCTCTGCTGAAGTTTTACACTTCAATTTAGAGAACATTCCAAGTTTTTCTGCTTTGGAAGCCTAGCAAAGGCTGATCCTCACCTAGGGTTGGTCCCCCTTCCATAGATATCAACCTTTTTCTTCAGAAAAAAGTTTTTTAAAAAATAAAGCTCTCCAAATAACATGATTTTAAATAACAGTTTAAAAATATTTCCAAACATAGGACACAAAGTCATTTTGTAAGAGGTCAACAAGAACTCTGACAGAAGTTTGAAAATCCGAGTGATGTGGAAGGAGTTAACTTATATTTTCTTTGGATTTTAAAAAAAAATCTATCGTAAAAAAGAAAATATTTACTGGCGTTCACATTCCCAGAGGATTCCAGCCAAAGGCTATGACTTTCATTTAGAAGTACTGCATGCTTATTGTCTAACACTGGTCTTTTTTTATCTGCAATGCAGACATAATTTGCCACCCACAGGACCACATACATGCCATAGTCTTGACCTAGATGAACTACTTGACAGATGACGAGGAGTTTCCTCTCCTGGTCTGAACCTGGATTTTCTTCCAATTGTTGTAGTTCCTATGATAATTTTTAGTATTACTTAGTGAAACTAACTTTTGATGCCCTTACCAACATGCTTTAACTTGTCAGCCCTGAATTGGTCAGGCAGTTGGACTAGATGATTATTGTAGGTCCTTTCCAACTGAAATAGTCTATTCTATTTTAAATTATTTCCACATATATCATATTTACATGAGGGGAAAGTATCTCCAAATCAGGAATCCAATTCTACTTTTAATGGATAACAGTGCATTAGTCATAAGCAGTTATCTATTTGAGCTAAATTCTTCGCATGTTTTGGGGTAACTACATATTTCAATATTTTATTTTCATAATTCAATATTATACCTTTCTGGTACTAATTCTTAATAACAAATACATTTCATGTACCAGTATATTTAGCTTTAATCAATATATCTGTTTAGAAAAAACACTTACTAGTTTTTCCGGTACCAATTAACATTGGGACTGGTACCAATTAACTGAGAAACAGCCTAAGTATTAAGGCCCATATACCAATTCATGGAAAAAAAATGAAAAGCAGATTCAGAAATAGTTCTCAGTTTAAACTCAAAAATTTTCAAATGGGATTACTGCACATGGAGTACCACCATGCTTATTATAAAAATCATAGAATAGTTTGGGTTGGAAGGGACCTCTAAAGGTCATCTCGTCCAACCCCCCTGCCATGGGCAGGGACATCTTCAACCAGATCAGGTTGCTCAGAGCCCCGTCCAACCTGACCTGGAATGGTTCCAGGGATGGGGCATCCACCACCTCCCTGGGCAACCTGTGCCAGTGCTTCACCACC